TAGCGGGCGGCTTTGCGGTTTGCGCTTTCTTTGCATCAGTTTCTTTTTTTCTCTTAAACGTCTCTTTTGGGTTTTTTGAAAGACCGATAAGGTTTTAAACACGACGCATCCCTGTAGTTGTATCCGTCGTGCATATGATCCTGTTTTTCGAATTTGTGGCTTTCACAAGGGGCTGTGGTGTTTCACATCAGCCGTGACAGGTGAGTCTCTGCGTGTCATGGTGGGATGAGGGGGTCTGTGCGCAGCTCCTCCGCAGTCTTTGTGAGGCCCTCGGCAAGGGCCGGAGGGGCTTGGAGAGATGGCATAACCCCTTCGCTGCACCAGGAATACCTGTGCCGACGTTTGGAAAATTCACACAATCGTGAATCTGCTCCACGTGTGTCCATGTCTGTGCCACTAGCTTTGCTCGGTGCCTCGCTGCTCGGTCTTGTCAGGGCTCCTCCCGAATGATTTCCTTTGATTCCGTTCTGTAAGTACAAAGTCCAAAGTACAAAATCATCATGCGAGCAGGTGTAATATAATGTTAAGATTGTTTTAATACGTGTTTCAGGCTTCTTGCCTGAAATATGTGTCTTGAGATTTTTGTTTTGTTCCGTCTGTAGCAATGGCTTCAGGAACAGCGCTGATTTACGATGAGGAGATGACCACTCATAAACTGCTTTGGACCGAGTAAGTCAGTGCCGTCCTTTTTGATGGAGAGATTCTTATTAGGACTTCTGAGAAAAGTACCAAGTACATGCGTTTTTGCAAATGTAATAGGAAATAGCTAGTGGTTGATACCACTGTCATTTTCCTGGTAGATAGGAAGTATTTTCTTTTGGGGAAAAATGTTTTATTTTGTTCCCAATTTGTATCCAGATGCCATAATGATAATCTGAAGCTAGATTTGAGAAGCTGTCGGCTTCCAGTCTGGTAGGCCTTAATAAGAAGTGTTAGCTTTAAGCATCTGAGTAGCCCTCTAAATAAAGGATTTTAAGCTAATTAAATTGTTTATAAAGCTGAAGTATCATTGATCTTGGAAAAAATATGTCAATATACTCGCTAAGCTGAAACCCATCAATTAATTTTGGTTAGAAATTGGTATATGCCAGTTGCTGAAATTTGTATAAATTAAGCCAGTACCTTCGCAGTGCTCAGAGTAACAGTCCACTGTTGTCTTCTCTACCAAACCCACTTCTCCTCTGTTCACTTTCAGCTTTTCATTTCAGCATTCCTGTGTCTGTAGTTAAGCATCGCTGCTTTCAGTGGTGAGAGAGGAAAAAAAATGATGTTACTGTGTTTCTTTTTTATTTAAGAACCATTTTTTGCGTACATATTTTAGAACCAATTTTTGGATCAATTCCAAACCAAAAAGTATTGTATTTTTCTTTTACTCTCACATGTCCCTCTATGAGGGTAATGAATCTTCTTAAAATGGGAAGCTAAAAGCTAGGGATTATAAAGTGTATTTGTTAGCTGTGCTGGTATGGTATTATAGTAATATGATTGTTGCTTATTTTTAGTCCTATTTGTGATATTGAAGTGCCAGAAAGACTGACATCCTCCTATGAGCAGCTTAAACATTACCGTCTTTTGGAAAGATGTGTCCATGTGCCTGCCAGAGAAGGAAGCGAGGAGGAGATCCTGTTGGTTCACAGGTCTGAAACTTACTTTCATCACCATTCAGATTAATTCAATGAAATTACAGATCTCATACCTCCAGGTTGTATTTTGCTCCGTTTGAAAAGATCAGCTCCAAAACTCAATGACTTCTAGTAATTTCAATGGAAAATTTGTCATGCTTAAAGTTAGACAAATAATGCTGAGTATGGTGTAGGTGCCGAAGAATGAATCTGCTATTCCACTAAATCCCCATTCTCACTCCTTGAGTTGTTGAGCAATGCATGCTGATTTATACACAGGAATAAAAGTAAACTTCTAATAAAAATTGGGACAGGACTTTAAAAAGTGTAGGAAAACGGATATTCCTTTAGAAAGATTATAATCTCCCCTTAAGCGTATTTGAGATAGAATGAACCAAACAGAAGAACTTTGCAGCTAATTCTGAGGGCGAGGGCTTCAGGGGAGCAGCAGCCTGCTGCCTATTCTAAAGTCATGGCAATGACGTCTGCTCTGGCATTTGTCACCTTGGTGTGGTGATTCTGCAACCACCTGTAGATGATTCGACGTGTTGCTTGTGTGCTCGCTTGCCCTTGTCAGGCAAGGGCAGCCTTCTGTGGAAGGCAAGGAGAGTCAGGAGCAGAGCATGATGACAAAGCAGCCAGAGGCAGTGGCTTCATGGACAAGGGCACAATCCCATGATACCCAGGTGAGGTGAGCAGCACAGGTCCAGTGGTGGTAATTGGATTCAGCCAGGAGTTTAGAGTGCCTGACAAGGCCGTAGTGACATGGCCAGTCTGAGGTCAAGCTAGAGAGTCTGCCCACAAGTCAGGGTCCAGGTCTGGATCTGTGGGGTTCATGGCCAGATACAGGCATGGTTACACAACACAGCTGCAGTGTAGCCAAGGATGAGAGCCTTATCTTAAAAGCAGGTGCCAAGGGAAGGAGGGGGAGCCTCTGCTGAGACTTCTTAGCAGAGCTGATTGCAGGAAACCTCTACTGAGGCTCCCAGCTCCTTCTTACAAAGTGACCAGCGGTGCTATCTCTAAGCTGATTCTGAACCCAGCAGCCAAACCTTAGGAGAGAAGGGGTGCATTCAGGGCCCTGACACCTGTGACGAGGACTGTAGCTTGATCCCAAGTCATGCATAAATTTTCAGATTCCACAACAGTATTTTTCCTTGGAACATACTTGTTTGTTAGAATGCAATTAGTGCTGTGTACCAATATAATTTATTTTCATAGTAAATACACTGCTGATTGAGTACTGAAGAGGCTTTGATCACTGTTCTCAGTTGAGTTGCTCCTGCTAGACTACTTGGGGACAAATTACTTCACTAAGTCTTGTCTTGGTTTCCCTAGGTAAGCTAGAGATAGTAGAGCTCTTTCCTTTTTAAAATCCTTTTAGATTGATACAAATATATGACTCCTATAAAAATGTTTTATGTGTGTTCAGTTAGTTATGAGGCTACTGACAAACTAGTAATTATAGTCATTCAGGTTCATATGGTTTTATTCCTGTTAACACCTTCATTTTGAAGCCACTGTTTAGCTCTATTTCCATTAGGCAGCACTAGCGTGTCTCATCTTGTGAAATTCTGATTGCTTTGGCATTGTCCGCTTAGAGGAATGTATATAGTTATTGTGTCCTGAATTAGGGCAGATGCCACCAGCCTCCATTTCCAACTCACTACACAGGGCAGGAGAGCAGCGACAGAGAATTTGGGGGAACATTGATTCTAGTGCCTTAGGGCTTATTACACTCTTGAACCAGTGCAAAGAGGGAGTTAGTACACGCCTGATAAGGGATTCATTCAAATACTTGTTTTCTGTAGAACAAGGGAGCACTAGACACATCTCAGAGTTACAACTCTCACTCTGATGACCATCAGAATCCAAATTTAGTTCTTGTTGAGATGATATGTGTGTGTATATGTAGTGTAAATTGCAAAACAGATTGTTGCATGATGAACGAAGAGCGTTTTTTCTGAAAGCAAGATTAATTGCTCTTGCTGCTGGAAAAGGGATAAGAATGTAAATTTCTTAAGACATTGAAGAACGTTGCTGTCATAGCACTCCTCATTTTTTTTCACTGTATCCCAAAACTAGCATTCCAGAGTACCTGTCGGACTTCTCAAGTCTCACAGAAAGCCGTTCTCGAAATATATTCTGTTACTTTTAATTACATTTTGCATTAAAAAAAGCCTTTATAGGTCTGTTTGCTTAATTAAGCATTGTGTTAATTAAGCATTGTGTTAATCTCTGTCTCCTCTGCAGTTCAGAACACTTGGAAGTGGCGAAAAGCACCCGAACAATGAATGAAGAGGAGCTGAAGAGAGTCTCTGGAAATTACGATGCTTTTTTCTTTCATCCGGTGTGTAAGTTAAACTGCTTTCTCTATTGGGAGCTACAGGTATTTGTGTTTCTACATCTGAGTCTCACTTTTCTAAGTAGAGGAAAACTAGCAATACACTTTTTGCCATTTAAATAGACTTACATATATTTATGACATTATTGTTATCTGTTTCAAGTAGAGTTTAATGCTGTAACATAAATTGGTCAAGTGTCTTGTCATCTGTTCTGTACTTGCTTCAGGCCAGTGTAGCGCACTGCTCAAATTTTAGCTTTTTAGCTCTATTTTTGTTACTTAATGTCTCTGTAGACCATTAGTGACAATCACATTTTGGTAACAGTCTCTCTTAAATGTTGTGCCAGGTAATGAAGGTCAAGTCTTTTGTGTGGGTTGTTTTTTGTTTTTTTCTGTAAGATTTAATTGCTTGTTTTCAAAGATGCCATGTTATTGCACTAGCCAGTTCAGTATGTTCATCTCATGTTTCTTAACTGCTCCAGAGAGAACATCCTTATAAAGGATATGGTGATCACAGGTAAACCTAGCAGAAAGCACGTTGAAATTTGTGTTATAAAATTCTGCTTTCAACTATCTGCATACGACCTCAGTAGAGTAGATTTGTGTCAAGATAATTTGCTGTTGGGGTGTAAAGCACCTCATGTGTGATTAGGTTAAAACAAGCTGATGAGTGATTGGTGACAACAAATAGATTCTCTTTTTCAGAACACTTATAGCTGTGCCAGACTAGCAGTAGGAGCAACTTTGCAGCTGGTGGACACTGTGATGTCAGGAAAAGCATGCAATGGAATGGCATTAGTAAGGTAAGAAAGATGTAAGAGAGTCTTCACTGCTCCCCAAAATTTCCTTTGTTCTAAGTAACCATATAAAACTTTGGTTTAGACCTCCAGGTCACCACAGCCAGAGAAACGCAGCTAATGGCTTCTGTTTGTTCAACAATGTTGCTATTGCAGCAGAATACGCAAAGCTGAAATACGGCCTGCAGAGGTAAGTGCATGGCTGACCCTAGAGAAGCTTATCATATGCAAGTACAGCATTTCAGTAGCTGCTTGGTTTTGTACTGATATAGATTAATGTCTAGAGCTTTCTGGGTGTCATGTAACTCTTGGGACAGAAAAACATCATTCGTCTGTACCTGCTTTAAGTCAAGATGCTGTGGTTCTTCTGCTGAATTTTTTCATTTACTGATCTGTGCAGAATCCTTATTGTTGACTGGGATGTGCACCATGGGCAAGGAACTCAATATATATTTGAAGAGGATCCAAGGTTTGAAGGATATTTTATTTATTTTTTTTTATGTTAACTGGTTAAATATTGCTTTCCTCTATAACAAATAGGATTTCTTAACTTTCTAAAACTAGGGTCTTACAAAACACGAAATATTTTCCTTGCTATTTTAGTCACTTTGTTGTTTTCACTTGTTATCAGATAGAGGGAAAATTCTAACAAAAAGAAATATGTAAGGAATAACAAAGTGAGCAATGTGACTACCTTGGTTTGCCAGTCGTAAGATCGTTCTGTGACAGTACGTAGGCCATATCTCTATTCTCTCTATTCAGGAATCTCAGTTCAAGTATTCAAATAGTAGTTGGATAAAACACATTGTTTTCTGAAAAGCCACAGAATTAGATTCTAGAAACAAGTCTGCTCTTCTGAAAGTGCTGTGTCTTTGGTGAGAAGGGATTGCATGCATACAATAAATTTTTAGCAGTTGTCTTAGGTTAGTTTTAGCATAGGACCTACTGTACCATGTTTCACAGTTCAAGTCCATTAAGAGGAAAGGACGATACTATTTTCATGCTTTTAGTCAATACAGTCAGCAGGTTCAGGATATAAAGTCAGTTTCAGAATCTTTTTGTCAAGTTGGATTTGTTTTTTGTATCTTTCAGTGTTTTGTATTTCTCCTGGCATCGCTATGAACATCAAGAATTCTGGCCATCACTCAAAGAATCTGATTATGATGCTGTGGGTCTGGGAAAAGGAAAAGGTTTTAACATAAATTTACCTTGGAATAAGGTAAACGTTGTTTAAAGCACAACAAAGCAAATGCAGTAGTTTCATATCTTGCGCTTTGTGTAATGCTTTGAGAAATGCACTGCTTCACTTGCTTGACAGATGTCTTAGCATAGCGTAGCTCCTTCCTGTCAGTCGAATGTCTGATGAGAAATATGGCTCAGAATATGATAATTTAAATTAAAAAAAAAAAAAAAAAAGAGAGAAAAACATGCACATACTCTTTTTTTTTTCTGGAATATCTTGCCTAACCATCAAAACAGAAGGTGTTTGAGATTATTGCATCCATCCTCATTCAGCAGAGAAAAATGGTGGATATTTATGCACTTTACTTAAATGGAGTTTGTTTTACTTGACCTCATAAGGATCCCTTATCTTTGACTTTTGATACTGTCTTTCCCTAAAGTCTTGAAGAACCTTAGAAAATTTGTTATTCCATCAGGAAAATATGACCTCTATTTCTCACATTTTACAGGTTGGAATGGGAAATTCAGATTATCTTGCTGCGTTTTTCCATGTGTTGCTTCCAGTGGCTTTTGAGGTAATTTTTTACTGCTCTTCTGTTTGAATAGAAAAATCAAAGACTACTTCTATGATTCTATGATTCCCAAGTACTACTTAAGCAGGTACCATTGAATGTTAGGTAGAAATGCAGTAATAGCCAGTAGCACAGTTAGCATGTTATTTCTGTTGGTTTGAATAATGTCCTGATCAACCAAATAATATTTATGGAACATTAGCTTTTAAATATTCAACATAATGATCTGCACCTTCCCTAGCAGGAATAAGAATAGTATAAAAGAGTAATCTTAGTTTTTATTCAAGAAGAGTCTTTATTTGTGTTCATATTCTAGCTGAAAAAAACAGCTGAACATGGTACAGTTGAAATCCAGTATAAAATTGAAAATAGAATATAAGAATGTCTGTTTTGTAACAGTTTGATCCTGAACTGGTTCTTGTCTCCTCTGGATACGATTCTGGGATTGGAGACCCTGAAGTAAGTAACTCTTTGTGGCCTTTGTGTTGTCAGTCATGACTCTGTTTGCAAAATATTCCTACCTCTTAAATGTCCTGTGATTGCTAGGTGAAATTCACTTTGACTAAGCTAAAAATACATGTTTGAGTCTTTAAGCTGACCCTAGCTCATTAAATACTGCAACATGACATGTAAAGACGAATTATCCTATAGGTGTAATTACTGTGTTGGTTTTTGCACCTTCTTTTAAAGCAGTTGGTTCTGCGTTGTGTTAGGTACAATAAGAGGCAAGTGTTCCAGTATTACAACTCAGATGCATGTGTTTCAGGCTGTGTGTGGTTTTTGTGACCAATGTTTTTGATTCAGAGTTCTATCTCTTAAAATTTTTTCTTTGATTTAGGGTCAGATGAATGCCACTCCTGAGGTTTTTGCCCACCTTACCCGTTTCCTGATGCAGTTAGCTAATGGAAAGCTGTGTGTCATCCTAGAGGTAAAGACTTTGGAAACGTGCTGTCAGGGGAAGGGTCTTTGTATTAGAGCCATATAGGACAAGCTAGAAGCTAGGAAGTGAAAGTTCTTAAAAAGTAATTTATTCTTTTGATCTTTCTTTCGAGAATCAGGAATGCAAAAATGGCTAAGATTTGGCAATGCTTTTATACATGAAAATAAACGCATGTCTTAACCTGATTTTTTTAACTTAAAATTTTGAAACAGAGGAGCATATGCTGATTGTACAAACAAACGTATCCTCCACAGGTACATTCAGTTCTTTTGAACAGTGACTAGATTGCTGCTCTGGACAGTCCCCAACTCATTAAAATGTATTCAGTGAATAGGCTGCATTGCCAATGTTTTTGCAAGTATGTCCTACTCCAGGAGAGTTTAAAGAACCTTTAACCTAAATACACTCTTGGTAATGGAGCCCTTACTAAACTCCATCTTTTTTGATTAAAAGCCTCTATGCAAGTTCTTTTTTTTTTTTTTTTGAGTGCTCCCCCCCTCAACAATTAAAACAATTAAAAATGTTTCCTCCTTTTGAAATCTAGATTTCAACTCCCTATTTCTGCTGCATGTTAGAAAAATGGTGGCTTTTCAGGTAAATAGGTATGTGGAACTACTACCGCCAGCAAAGTCTCCAAGAGTGAACTGTTTATGAATTGATTCACTTGACATCTATTTTGCATAACCTTTCTTCCATCATCCTTCCCTCCAGCAGGTTATTATAGATATTTCTGTCTAATAGCTGAAGTGCAAATAAGCATCCCCGCCTAATATAGATGATGTGAGTACTCCACAGGTGGTATACAGGAAGCAGTCCATCATCTGCAATCTAGCAGTCTTAAATCTGTCTCTAGTTGTTCTCCAAATTCTCCCAAACCATTAGGACAACCATATCTTACAAGCGTCGGGCTGTGGGAGGTTTCCGTTGTACAGACATTTTAGAGGACAGTGATAGTATTCGCCTTCTAAGGAATCTTCCACAAGAATTGCTGGAGATGGCGTATCATGGGTAGCAGTGGAGAAGGTGTATGTTCCCAGGGTTGTCATGGCAAAGTCATGACTGATTTCTGAAATGAATCGAACCATGAAAAGTGAGTTGAATCATGGGATGCCACTGAAATTCAGCGAGTGGTTTCTAACTTACTGTTTTTGTGTACTTGCATATCAACTTCTGTTTCTGTAAATTCAGATATATTTGAAAAGTTTGATTTATTTTCCATGGTGCTATTCAGATAGATGTTACAAATGCTTATTTCTTAGATGACACAAAATACTTTTTTCTAGGGTGGATACCACTTAAAGTCATTGTCTGAATCAGTCTGCATGACTGTAAAAACTTTGCTTGGAGATCCAGTACCTCAAATAACTGGAGAAATGGCACCTTGCCTAAGGTGAGCGTATGAAGAATTTTAGAACAACCCTTGTATTTATCAAAGAGACTGAAGACATGCATGCTTTTTATATGATGCTTTATATTATTTTCTGCTTTGAATAACTTGCTTTCCAAAAAAGTCATCCAAGCTACAGTTTTGTATAGATATATTTCCGAAATTATTTCAAGTTGTGAGAACTTCCTAATGGCTTATAAGTTTATGCTATTTATCGTTGGGCCTTGGTATCCTGTAGAGAACCATCTCACTCAAGGCTGAGATGATCCTGTTGTAATCAAGGCAATACCGGTTAATAACTGCCAGTATTTGGGAAAGTATGTAACTGCAAGGATTAGCTCTTCAGACTCCAGAGCCCCTTCAGTTGCTGTAGTACGGCAGTAGCTGGAGCTGGCCTTTCCCTCGCCAGTGAGACCTGATGCTGTGCAGCGCCAGTCTTGATGACTCATTGGGTTTCTGGAATTTGGAGCGTCGAGGCCTGGGGTGCGAAAGCACTCAACTGTGGAACTGTACCAAGATAATTAAACTTCAGGTCTAACTTCTTTTTGGAGACAGTAAGATTGTGTTTGCACAGAGGTGAACGTGACTTAGTAAAACATTCTGAAGCTTTTGGCTTCCATCGGTCCCGCATCTAAACAGCATCTTTGTCTCTGTCTCTACCATCTCTTCCTCATCTCCATGTTCTGTCCTCAGTCTCTCTCCCACCTCAATAGTTGTCCTGTGTGTTTTTCAGCAGTAATGTTCCTCATGTGTCTTGGTGAGTAGAAGGCAGCACCTGCCAATTGACTGTGTTAGTTAAAACTCAGAGCTCTGATCAGTCAGGGAAGCAGCGTGGATATAAACAGGCTGTGCGCAGAGTTGGGTTTGGTAAACTGTGATGGAGCAAAGCTGGTGATTTTGCTGTCAGTACATCCCATGGCCTCTGTATCACCTCTTCTTCCTCTCTACCAGCTGTAGTATCTCAGGTTGCTATCATCCTAGGTAATACAGAGTTGATTACATGTTTATACATTACATCAGTCCAGCTCCTGACCACCTTACAAATAATCTCCAAGTACAGAGAATTTTTCCTGGATTTAACATGACCTGGATTATGTTTGTATGATAGTTAACATAGTAGGGCCATTTGGCTATAGTGCTGCAAATACCAGTGATAATAAAAAATAAATTTCAACACAAAGAATAGCGGGGAATGTGATTTACTTGGTTCCTAAACAGTCGTCTTGCTTTTGAGTGAATCTGATCACATCTTTACAATCTGTAGGTAAAATGTCTGACAGAGCAAAGACAGGCGAAATCTTGCCTTTTCTGAAGTCAGAGACAGGTGTGTTTCCTCAAACAGCAGGGTTGGAATTTCACTCAATATGTGTAAATACATGTACACACTGCACGTATTCCTCACTTTTCTTTTTTGACTCTTGAATCTAATATTTCCAAGCAATCTGCCCATTGACTCTCATTCTCTTCATCTTTCTGTTCTGCATTCATGGAATAGACCAGAGCTTGTTCATTTTCAGTTGGATTTTTGGGTTTTACTTCTTCATTGAGGTAAGTTTTATGTTTCCTGTATTTTCATTAGTGCTGATACTGTTGATCCTGTTTCTTTTGTAGTGCTATTGAATCTATTCAAAATGTGAGAGCAGCACATAAACCCTACTGGAAATGGTTGAAGTATGAAGGTAATTACTCTTCTCTTTCTTCAAGCAAATGGAATTGGTAAATGGATTCATACAGAAACTCAAAATGATTAAGATGAATACCAGTGAAGTAAAATAATTGAACTGCCAGTTATTTATCAAGTGACTGATGAAGCACTGTGAGGCTTTGTTCAAGGCCATGTCTTCATCTGGTCTGAAAAGAACTTCTGAAGCTGGCAAACATCATGCCCAAAATTAGTACTTTGATATCTTTGTTTGAGGATGCTGGTTTCTGTGTCAAAAACATGGGCAGAAGATTTGTTATCATTTATGACCTTTCACTAGATGAAAATAAACGTAGCAGCACTGAAAAATAACATCTGTGGTAGGAAACATTGTAGCTAGCGCTGGGAAATAAATATGCATAGTAGGAATACAGATGTACTCCATTTTATGAATAAATAAATGTAACGAAATATTAACACACTGCTCAGGAATTAAAGACGTGAAACCTCTCTCTTTTTTTCTTTAGACACATCATTTTTACAGAATTTGAGCACCAAATCGCAGTTACTAAAGAAGGCTAATACAAATCCCTCCACAGAACAGGAATTTAAGATGACTAACAAGGATGCAGCTGTTGAAGTGGAAAGGTTTTTGGAACTGCACATGAAAAATATTCTATTTCCAGTGCCTCCAATCAAAACAGCAACAACAACTCACTCTAAAGGTTCAACACACTTGCTCCCTGTACCCGTTCATTTGGTGAAGGCAGTGGACAAAACCGAAATGAAAGCTCTTGTCAGGTTGGTCCTGTCTGTTTCATTTTCAACATAATTATGAGGATGAGAGGTCTCTGTACAGGCTGTCATCTAGCTCTCTCTCTGCCATGGTCATCTTTTTGGCCTTAGTCTACTTAATTATAGCCAGAGTTTCCTTCTTTGAAAAACTAAGACGTTGGTGTTGGTTGTCACTTGTAGCCTTGAAGTCCTTTAAAGAACTAATCGGAATACTTTTAGAGAAAACGGTTTCAATGAAGATAGAACAGTTAGTGCAAATGTAATTATTTAGAAAGAGATTTTGCTAGGAAGGTGCCTTAAAGCTCTTTGTCCACTTTTAGCTGAAAAAAATATCAAACTGGTCTGACTTGAGAAGCTCAACGTTTATGTCTTAGAAAGTCTAAATACCACCAGACACTTTTGTTTTCTTTCTAGAGCAGAATGGAGACAGGTTTATAGAGCTCAAGACTGTCAGGCAGTCAGGCAGCAGTGTTGTCATCTTCCTGCAAAGCTAGATTTTTTAGAATGAATGTGTAGGACCTATACAAAACGTATCCCATCAATACTAATTGCAAAGTATCGTATCAGTGTCCGCTTTGAAAGCATTATTGCTTCTAACCTAGTGTTTTTTCATACAATTTGTTTTACAGTGGCTTTTATGCAGACCTTGTGAAAGATGACAGAACTTTGCTCTCTCTTGGCAGTATGTTGGCCATCCTAGATAAAATACTTAAGAAGGAGGTAATAACTGCTTTGATCTTGGGGGGTAGGGGGAAGGTTGGATTCTTCTGGCGTTCACCCTTCCAGTTAAGGGGAGCAGAAGGTGGTGTGTCAAGCACCAGTGAGCAGCAGCAAGAAATCTGAGCAAGAAATGTCAAAAATGTTCCTGTCTTAATGCACGGAGTTTTGCATTCTGTCTTTAGGACAGAGTTTACTTCTGCATTACCTTTTGTTACAAGATTCCATGCTATGTGCAGCTGCACCCACTTACTGTTTGCTGACGACACCAGGCTGTGTGGTGGTGTGGCAGCAGCTATGCTGGAGGGAAGGGTTGTCATCCAGAGGGACATTGACAGGCTGGAGAGGTGGGCCTGTGAGAACCTCATGAAGTTCAACAAAGCCAAGTGCAAGGTCCTGCACGTGGGTTGGGGCAATCCCAAGTACAAGTACAGGCTGGGCGGAGAATGGATTGAGAGCCACCTGGAGGAGAAGGACTTGGGAGTGCTGGTGGATGAGAAGCTCAACATGAGCCGGCAATGTGCACTGGCAGCCCAGAAAGCCAGCTGTATCCTGGGCTGCATCAAAAGAAGCGTGGCCAGCAGGCGGAGAGAGGTGATTCTGCCCCTCTGCTCTGCTCTCGTGAGACCCCACCTGGAATACTGCGTTCAGCTCTGGGGCCCCCAACATAATGAGGACATGGAGCTGTTAGAGTAACTCCAGAGGAGGGCCACAAAGATGATCAGAGGGTTGGAGCACCTCTCCTATGAAGACAGGCTGAGAGAGTTGGGGTTGTTCAACCTTGAGAAGAGAAGGCTCCAAGGAGACCTTCTAGCGGCCTCCCAGTACCTAAAGGAGGCCTACAGGAAAACTGGAGAGGGACTTTTTACAAGGGCGTGTAGTGATAGGACAAGGGGTAATGGATTTAAATTGAAAGAAGGTAGATTTTTATTAGACAGAAGGAAGAAATTTTTTACAATGAGAGTGGCGAGGCATTGGAACGGGTTGTCCAGAGAAGTTGTGGATGGGCCATCCCCTTCCCTTTGCCTTCCAGTCCAAATGCATGTGCACGCACATGCACACACACATGCCCTCACACGCTTTCACTCTGTGTGTGCTGTGATTCTGAACAGAGTCATTCCAATTCAGTATTGGAGAAGAAAAAAGAAAAACATCAGGAAAAAAAAAAACATTATTAGATCATAATAAATCAGTCTCTCCCTTTGAATGAAAAGCTCTCTTGATAGTACCAGACCTGTGAGGAAGAGTAGCTGCCAGAATGGCCTCTTTCTTCCAATAGCATCTTCTTGCTATTGGAAGTCACATATGTAGATCTTGGAGACAAATTTCTAACATTGTAGACTGCACGTATCTCTAGAAGAGCCTATAAATAATAAATTTAAAAAAAAGATAACTGGCAAGAAGAAATGGAACTTTTAATGAGTTGCAGATGAGCTTTTTATTTTGACGAATACAAAGAGGAGGAGTGAGGAGGGGGAGTATGCATTATCTTTTTTCTTGGCTTTCATGTAGCATTCAAAGCACTACCACAACAGAAATGAACACTGAAAGATTGACTGAGTAATGCTGTCATAGTATTTTCCAGAAAGGAATTTAGCGTGCCTAGATTAAAGGAGGAGTCAGAATTCATGGACAACAATTCAGGGTGTATTTTTCTGGTGCAGTTTGCCTGCTGGTGCACTGAATGTATCCAATCTGCAGACTATAGAGGGAAGCAGTAAAGATGACTGTCCTCTGCAAAAGGACATGCCTTTCAGCATGGCTCCATACTTTTGAAGTAATTTAGCAGCTCATTGACATAATGATCAAATATGGCCTTTCTGTAGAAAATGAATTAAAAACGTTTTCTGAAGTCTACTGCAATAGATCACTAAGATTCCTTTCATACAGCTGTAGCTTTGCTTGAATGATACATATAAACAAGTGAAAATACAGTTGTTACAATTAAAAAATGACACTATCTTGTGCAACATTATTTACATGTGAATGAAAAATATGTTTTGTAGGCATGCAATGGAATTGCAGAATCACCCACAGCTGCTGTTTCTGTGGCTGTTGCACTAGGACATTCTGTTCATTTTGGATTGCAGAGGTAAATTTGTGTCTTGTATTTGGGGCCTTTTGACAAAATGTGAAAATAAGTGTGTGAAATACAGCAAATTGCCTTTGAAACCTTAATTTTAAAACAAATAGCATCCCAACCTGCGTAGCATTTTCAATACGTAGTACAGACAATATTGTATTTGCCAGCAAAAGTCTTTTGCCTTAACAAAGGCCAAACGTTTGCAAGGATGACTGTTTGACTGCTGTGCTAGCCTACGTTTTCTTTGTCAGGTTTCAATTGTCTTTGGCCTGAGGACGTTTTCTTGGTTTTGTTTTTTCCCCCAGTGTTTGGTGGCAGAAAAGGAATTCCCTTGAGCTATCATAAATGTATGTTCTTTATTCTTTTAATGGGCCAAATTCAGAAGCAGTATCTGTTCTTTTTTATGCATCTAATCTACATGCAAACTCTTTAAACAAATTGCACTAATTCAAAATATTTACTTGTAGATGTAAATGTACGCATGTTTTTCTTTGTTTTCTGCAGAGTGCTTTGTATATTTGTTGGAGACATGCAAATCATGCCGAACACAGAAGATGGGTGAGGTTTCTACTTACTTCAGGGAGTCAAATCCCAAAGGCTTTATAAATGTTCATAAGTGTCCGTACGTACGATGAAATCTGCACTAAGGAATCAGTAATGAGCTGATGTTCATCAAGTTTAGCATGAGACGAGATGCAAAACATCCTCAAATTAAAGACAAACTGCTATATCTAAATGCCACTTTATGAGTTTAGTAGTAGGTTTAAAGTATAATCCTCCTATATTAATTGCAATTTAGATTGTTATGGAAAACAGAATATGGAAAATATGAAGTAATAAGGAAGGCAATTATTAATGATATAGGGTGTACCCTCCTATAACTGCAGGGGGCACATAGTGCTGATGCTGAGTTCCTTATTGAATATTATCTTTAATCTATAACTTTTTTTGACACTTCCCCTTTTTCTTAAAACTAACTTGTCCATAGTCTCTAATACTCTTTTTAAAAATACCTTAAAGAGGATTTCAGTTTTAATTGGTGTTTACATTATGGCATGTAGTAATGTAAAATTCCTGTGTTATTAATTCATATTTAAAGAATGATGAAAGAAAATATCTTTTTATCTCATTGGAAGTTTTTGGCTAAATACTCAGATGTAGTTTTTATTTACAGAAAAGTACTAATTATACATATTTGTGAGAAAGAAGAGTCTGGGAAGACCAGCTCCAAACACTTTATTTCTCTAAACTGGAAAGCGGTAAGATTCACTTTCTGGAAACAATACAGGAGAAAAACTTTTTTAACATAAATAATAGAATATGTTTACAAATTCATAAAATGATACTGAGAATTACACCCCTCACTGCAATGTGGACCTTTGAAAATATTTCCTTTGCTTGCCCTTGTCAGGGTACTACTCCTTCACAGATCTTCAGAGTGTATTAGAACGCGTAGGTTGGGGAAACCTTCAGTAGCTACAGTAGTTCATCTTCAAGAAGGCAGAGTTGCAGTGCAAAGACACTAAGGAAGAGATGAATAATCTACATGTTTAATATAAATATTGCTGTGAAAATAGATCAGTATCCTGTTTCCTAGGTCAATCAAAAGCTTTTTGAGATTCACCTCGCTGTTTTGTTTTTTATCTGAGAATTTGGGGCTTTACATTTGTGCTAAACAGTTTTTCATTGTTGTTAAAGGATGCTGAAGGAAATGACTTCTTTTCTGCTGTACTTGGATTCATTCTTCCTGTAGCGTATAGTTATCAACCTAACTTGACAGTAATAGCTGTTGGACCAAACAGGAGCCTTGGAATAAGTGAAATCTCTCTGCTTTTTGCTTTACTACAAGGATTAGCCGAGTCTCGAATTTTTGCAGTGATAGAGGTAAGAAGTGGTGCTAAGCTGTGGTACTTCAGAGTGCCTAGGTCAGAACTCAAATCAAGCTGCAGCATGCTCGGTATGAGCTGCTTCAAGCTGCTCAGTAGAAAATACAGGCTGTATCTGTACTGTCTTTGGTACTCCTGGTGCGTGACGCACGTAGCCCAGCGTTCTCCCCAGCCTGAGAACAAGACCAGACACAGACGCATACCGAGCTGTAGACAGCCTGCATGAACGCAAGCCAGTGGTTGTGGCTACAGACAGTACGTGTTCTGACAGTTTGCCACAGTTTGGGGATGAGCTTCCCTTTCCACCTGGGATTCACAGCTCAGGGTTGTCTCCTGGAAAGAGATGTTTGTTTTCTGTTAATTATATGGCCGCTTTCCATCAAAAGTGATTGAAAGCCGTCCATTGTCCTGTTTGTCCACTAAATTTCCTCTCCCTCTCTCCCCCATGCTGTACTTCATCACACACGACTTCCATCATGCAGAAAATAAATCAAAATGGCACATATCCTTTAAGTGAATTTAATTGCCATAGTACATAACTGAGGACAAATCTACCAGAGCTTTGTGTTTCTGATAGAGAGCATGGGAAAGGAAATAAAGGATATCTGGATCTTTCCCTGGTCTAGTGTTCCATACACTACCGCATTAAGGATTTCTAAATTTAGGAAGTCGGAGGCTGTATCCAGACCAGTGTGTGATAAGTGCCAGTGAGCGCATCTTCCATGAATTTGTCTAATCTCTTAAAGAACTGAACTTACACTCTTGGCCTCTGCAGCATCTTGTGGCTGTGAGTAACACAATTTCTCTTGTGTGTTCTGCGAAACAGTCTCGTGTCTTCTAGTTTGTCCTTAAGGAGAAACAATGGTGTTCACACATGCAATTTTATTCTAATCCATTTCTTGCTAAGTATCCAATTAAAGATATACTATTCATTAAGCTGCTAATTAAGTGGATTTTGATATGCTCTATTCTGTAGTTTTCTTAAATGTTATTTAATTTACAATACTGATATGTAAATTGTCTAAGCTAATATAATTTGTAGATTGATACACAGTATACAGAAACAGTGTATTTGCATATTGCTAATTAGGAGTATGAAATGGAAAGAATTACTGATGTTCTGAAGGGTAAACTCAGGCATAAAAAGGAAGTTAGACATACATCTTTAAGAAATGATTGAGACTTTTATATTGGCACTTTGCAGGTAGCTCCATAACAGTATATTAACTAACACATGATTTTCTAATGCATGGGCTTGGCTTTTTAGAATAATTGAAAAAAGACTTCTCTCTTTTAAAAATAAAATAGAGTTACAGCATTCAGAATAAATGTTAATAATCCTCGTATACTATGGACACCTCAGAATGTAATTTCTGTGAGCAAATGACATTGATTTAGACTGTCAGGAGTCCAAAAATTGTCACATTCTGATGAAGCAAAATAAATCACTATTTTCTACAGATAAAAAATAAAAGATGCACAAACAAGCTCCATGATCCCCTTCTCTCCTAACATTTCCTGCCTTTAACACAGCCCTATTTCTTTTCAATCACAAAAAGAAAACTGAGATTCTTTCTCTATTTGGGGAAAAAAAAAAGTTTTACAGGAGATAAAAATTAATTTACCTTTTTCAGAAAAACCTTTTTGCATTTGGACACATTTTTATTTGAAAACTGAAAGTTTCTCATTCTTGCTATTTATATTAGCAACTTCATTATAAAATCTTGTTTTAAAATATTTCATGTAGTACTGAAATGAAGAAAGTTTGATTCCCAGGAGTATTTTTTTTTTCTTGTTAAATAGGACACAGAGATAAATTTAATGCAAAACGTAGCCAAAGCATTAGTGGGTGCTTCTGCGCCTCACTTTGGAGTTTATGTACCTCCTACTCAAGAAAAGGTAAATAAAATAAAATTATTAAGAGACCAGTTTCA